CGTGAAATTTTTAATGACAAATTTGGCAGCTTAGGGACCAAACAACATATTGATTGTTATTTCACAGACCGAAATAAAAAACAGTGAAAATCCTTAGAAAGCAAACATTCTCTGGTAGAAACTGCGCAAAACGCATGATCGCACCGGCTGCCCTAGTATGAGCTGCAGCTTATTTTGAACTGCGCAGGAGAATTCCTTGTATTTTTATTTGTTCGCCTTTCACATTTTATCGTTCTGCTGGAGCAGGAGAACGTGTTAATTTCTTGTTACACTCCCATCCATTATCGTACGTTATTGACACAACCAACGATGTAAAAAAAAAAAAAAAAATAGCGGCGCAAACCAGAGCAGCCGGTGCAATCATGCGTTTTGTGCAATGCCGCCCACCGAACAGTTGCCTGTTAATGATTTTCACTGCTTTGCACTTTGGTCTGTGCAAAATAGTTGAAATGTTGAAAAATCGTTAAAAATTTCGCGCACCGGCACGTGAAAGCTGAATTGGGAACCTTCTCCCAAAATTTCAATCTCTTAATTTTTTGGCTTTCGAATGATCTTTGAGGCGAAACTTCCACGTGGTCGAACGTGAGACCTTGGCATACTCGGAAAATTTGAATTCGAGTTTGTGAAGCCATTGGTTAGGCAGGAAACATTTTTCTCGCCAAAACTTCCATGGGGAAAATTTGCGGAGTTGTACGTGAGCAGGGGATGCCACGTAAAAATTTTAGCTTTTTAGCTTTTGCAGTTCAAGAGATAATAATTTCCTTAACAAAACTGCGTGGTACCCAGGAGTGCGTGAAGGCTGAATCGAAATTTGTGGGGCGTACGTTGGTAGAGGACATCACCTTAAAATTCCAGATTTCCAACTTCCGCGGTTCCCGAGATAATGATTTCCCCGCCGAAATTTTCGCGGGGCCGTAAGTGATGCTCGGACATGCGGAAAGGGTGGAATTAAATTTGCGAGATTGTATGTGAATGGAGAACATTGGCGTAAAGCTTCAGCTTCCTGGCTTTTATTGTTTTCGAGATAATAATTTACTCTCCAAAATTTTGACGGGGCTGTAGGTGATACTCGAGAGCGTGGAAACGCTGAATTTGAATTTGTTTGGTTGTACATAGGTCATTATCCTAAAATTTCAGTTCCCTAGATTCCATGGTTTCCGAAATAATAATTTACCCACCAGAAGTTTCACGGGGCTGCAGGTGATACTCGGGTGATACTCGCAGGCACGGAAGGCTGAATTTAAATTTTCAGCTTCTTAGCTCCCGAGTTGGAAGTTACAGACAAGTTGGTGCGAGCACACACATACGCGCAGAAACACACACACAGACAAGTACGCGTTTTGTGCAGCTGTTGCGCAGCACCAAACATAAAAATAAAGATCGCTTCAAATTTTTCACTTCCGCTGCTTATATTTCGCCGATTCAGAGAACTGCTGATTATAGATCATAAAAGAGTTATCCAAATGCAGGTTGGCGTGATTCTTGGTATGTACAAGAACGTGAACTCCGTTCGACGCATTTCGTTGTCTCCGCATGCCTTCGCAAGAAATCACAGCATGGATTTTCATCAGCACCTTCCTCCACATTCCTTCCATTCATGGCCGACTCTAGATAGTCCGGATGAATGCAGAGTTGGCGATGTGTCTTCACCAAAGGTTTTCTTTAGCGCTTGATGACAATCTCAAAAGCAGTCCTCGTGTTTGTTTTTCTTCATTTAATTTGTGTTGGTTTTAGTCTGATGAATCGAATCTCGGTGCGAGCACTCCGCAGAGCGCGCCAGTCACTATGGACAATTCAGAGAGGTCGATTAGGACTACCATTTTGGATCAGCCGCGCAGCATATACACCGCTTTCGTTTGTAAGTTAGTTCTCGAGTACGGGCGAAGTCCTGGCGCGATCTAGTCTCCGGTGATTTAGGTACCTTGCACTAGGTAACACAGCGCCCACTGGTATTCTCAGCAGCTTTGCTGATATTTTTTCATAGTCTGCGTGAAGCCCGACCATCGTACTGCAGGCGTGCCTAACACGTCGTCTTTCGAACAGATAAGTGGGAAGACTTGGCTATGCTTCCTCCGCGCACCAGCAAGGCTTTAGTTGGCAGTAATGTGGAAAGTGCCATCCACAGATGTGGTGTGCAGCTTAACGATACATTGAGGCTTGAAATGGCTCGGTTAGCTTGTAGCTCTATCGCAGCGTCTTTGAGCAGTGCCGACAGGGCAGTGGCGCATTTATGAAATCTTTCTCTTTTTCGATGTTCACTGTGCAGCGACTCTTACAGCGCGCAGTTTGCGCCGCAAAGGTATGCGCAAGGTGCTTCAGAGGCTGGAGAGCGTTTGCACGAAGACAGTGAGCAAGGTTGTTGCGATGTTACAGCGATCGCCAGTCACCTATGCCGAAGCTGCCAGAAGCAGTAAAAAGCCACGGATTGTCGACTTCGGTGTGGTACGTCGCTCGCATTCAGTGCATTTACGCCAGTTGATGTCACCTGCGCTGTGTACCCGTAGTGTTGCTGCTCGCTATGCGTCTTCCCTAATTAAGCTTTCTCTTCCTTCCCCTCCTTACCGCCGGTATCTCAGCCATCACTTGTATGCAAAGACCAAGACAGACCAAGTACTCTTTGTGGGTACCGCTTGTTATGCGTTTTTTGCAGCTATGCAATGCAGAAAACGCATATTGACGAGAGGTTGTCTGTGTGT